GATTGTAGCGGGTGTGCTGATTTAACATATTACGTACGTGAAAATGACATCAGACGATCACATTTCATTGTTGATTAACACAATAGAAAACGGCCAAAACTGCTCTTTTAGAGACAAACTAGTTACATTAGCTAGTAGTAGTACCATAGAAATACATACATATACGTATACATATGTATGTATTTCTATTATTATAACTATCGTAATATGATATATCGTTATATCTCATATGTCGATATATCGTTCGATCCATATATATCTCATCGTGTCATGATTGTTGTCAACACGATCTAGGTAAACTCAGAGAAACGAGTGCTGCAGTGCAAGAATATCACGTCATTGTGTAAATTAAAGCCCGGCGCACATTGCCGAACATTTTGCTCAAAAACATTATCGTAGCAATGTTCCATGAAATGTTCGGCAGTGTGCTGTGAAAAAAGTCGCCGAACATTTGTTCCGAACAATGTTTCTGAAGATCGGAAATGTTTGATATCTCGAACATTGTTCGTCGAATGTTCGTCATTGTGCGCTGAATGTCGAACAATTCTAGGAACATTTGTAAATGCCTATCACGCCGATTGGCCACACGCCGATCACGTGACTCTTTACAACACAGGTACTAGACGGCGCCACGAGGTTGTTCGCTGCAAACTGTTCGGCAATGTGCGCTGAGCAATTGTTCACCCGCACATTGCCAGACAAAAACATTTGTTCGGGAAAATGTTTGGCAATGTGCGCCAGGCTTACGCTGAGAGGGTCTGTCTCCCTGGGTACTGCCGGAACGTACCCTGGTAACTATCTACCTCGCCTACTCCACTAACGAGTCTAGGGAGTCGCCTATGCCTACTCCCTAACCCTAACCCTAACCATATCAGATAGTTACCAGGGTACATTCCGGTATACCGGACCGTACCCAGGGTACGTTCCGGTAGTACCCAGGGAGACATAGACCCTATGAGCGTAAATTAAGCATGACTAACAAATATCAAACTCTGCACTGTACAGTCTACAGCCGAATGTGCACGGAAAAATTACTCATGTCTGGAGAACTGTATGGCAGCATTCTAACTGTTAGGTGCCAAAATCATCTCAGAATGATTAAGATGGCCCTCATATGGCATGGCGGAAATACATGCACCAATATAACAACAGTGGCTACACGGTGAAATGTACACTTGCTATTTGTCAACACTTACAAATTGTGACTGTCAATAAAGAAGGATAATAACAATAAATATTGTTTTGAGTAATAATATACCTACATCATGAGTAAATAACCCCGTTACCCATATTAATTATTCCTGATGTTATTTGCTGTCGGTTTCACGAAGGAGTGAGCCGAGCTTCGTGATTTCACAGGTGCTGCTTTTGCTAGTGCATTTCTCTGTTACGTTTTCTGGTTAAATGTGACATTTTTTTACATTTTCTCTTCGCGCAGTCCCTGAGGCCTACAAGCTACTAACCCTAACCCTATCCGCTACAAGTGCATGATGTGCCCCGACTTTGACCTGTGCACGACCTGCGAGAAGAAGGGTCTCCATAGAGAGCGCGCCGTCCGCAGCGCCCGCAACGCCATCTGTGGCCACCCGGTACACTAATAATAGGAATTTCAAATGAATTTTATCCGGCCTAAAAGAGGTTCCGGACCATCAGTGTCCGGAAAATCGGTGGTGTACCTGTACATGGTTTTTTCAATTTATACCGATTTTTTGAACTGCCAGTTGCACCGGCTTATATTATTCTATATGGATTCAACTTGATTAATCAACCATTCTGCATGCTCGGAGTTATCAGCTTCTCCTGTGAATATATGTACAGACAGACGGTGTCTGAAACACCTGTCACCTGAGTTCCCTCGCCACACACTATAGTTGTGCAAGCGATTGTAGCGGGTGTGCTGATTTAACATATTACGTACGTGAAATGACATCAGACAATCCCATTTCATTGTTGATTAACACAATAGAAAACGGCCGAAACTGCTCTTTTAGAGACAAACAAGTAACATTAGCTAGTACCATAGAAATACATACACACATATACGTATATGTATGTATTTCTATTATTATAAGTATCTTAATATGATATATAATGTTATATCTCATATGTCGATATATCGATATATCGTTCTATCCATATATATCTCATCGTGTCATGATTGTTGCCAACACGATCTAGGTCAACTCAGAGAAACGAGTGCTGCAGTGCAAGAATATCACGTCATTGTGTAAATTAAGCTGAGAGGGTCTATGTCTCCCTGGGTACTGCCGGAACGTACCCTAGTAACTATACCTTGCCTACCGTACCTCGCCTACTCCACTAACGATTCTAGGGAGTCGCCTATGCCTACTCCCTAACCCTAACCATAACCATATCAGATAGTTACCAGGGTACATTCCGGTAGTACCCAGGGAGACATAGACCCTATGAGTGTAAATTAAACACGACTAACAAATATCAAACTCTGCACTGTACAGTCTACAGCCGAATGTACACGGAAAAATTACTCATCTTTGGAGAACTGTATGGCAGCATTGTAACTGTTTAGGTGCCAAAATCATCTCAGAATGATTAAGATGGCCCTCATATGGCATGGCGGAAATACATGCACCAAGATAACAACAGTGGCTACACGGTGAAATGTACACTTGCTATTTGTCAACACTTACAAATTGTGACTGTCAATAAAGAAGGATAATAACAATAAATATTGTTTTGAGTAATAATATACCTACATCATGAGTAAATAACCCATATTAATTATTCCTGACATATATGCATTAACAGGTAGCATGTCTTTTCATTATAGGTTCCAACACTCTTAGCAGTAATGTACATTTTTACACTGAAGGACTACTGAAGGCCAAGACTTGGAATTGATTCAAAACACTGTAAGCAAATATGGAACTTCAAATACAATGTTATCTCGAATACCACATGCATACAGGCTGGTTCTATTTCATACTATCCACACATCAACCATGGCAAACCAATAGAAAAAAATTATCTATTTATGTGTGTCTTTTGCAAATATATATGGACATGGTTGTATTGAGTAAACAACTATTCCATCCACATTAATCCACTGATTAGATGTTCAGCATAGTATATACTTACCGCAACATATTTTTAGACTGAGGTTATATTTTTACACAGCATCCTATCTGTCAAATATCATGTGCTTAGGTGAAGAGGCGGTGAACGCCACATTCACATTGTTGACAGGATGTCACTCGGGTTAAACAACGATAATCGTGGGAGAAATTACAGATAAACTTATCACATTAATAACGTGACTACGTCCGCAATTTATCATTGAATCCATTCATGTTCATGACATAACCATGTTGCAAACAAAGGGTAAGAAATTCCCACCCCAAACTAAAATGAAAAACCGGGCGGTTTAGACTTGGTGGCACTCTCCGCTGCAGGATGGTAGTTGTACTTCTGCTGCAGTACCTCAATGGGCACGCTCTTCTGCATGACGTAGTACAGATTCACCAAGCTCTTCACAGCATCGGCTGACAACCTGATGTTGTTCTTTTGTGCATACCAGAAGACCTCAGCAGCGCCCTCAAGATCGGAGTTGTCACCTGTGAAGAAAATGTGATAATGAGCACACCCAGTGCTACACTGGACAATTACGCGAATATAACATCAATAAAATTGTAACGCATTAAAGTTCCTTTGTATGATAAGCCGAATACCGTCTACAATCATATATGTTACCAGGGTTCTCCACAGGAATTTCAGAAAGCATGTCAGGCAATTCGGCAATTTATCCCCGATTGCCAATTTGAGTCAATTACGCATATATCGTAAGCGGCCCTAATACTCCCAATAAGCTGAAGCAGTACAGATAAACATAGACATCAAGCTGTGAAAACACAGCATGCATGTTATGGGATAACCAAAAGTAATCACAGCTGAAAATTAAGGCAATTGCCGATTAAGCAATAACAGCATGTCGATAGATTCATCCAATGTCGCAAATTAGCTTCAACTTTAAAGGTAAGTCGGACTCGCATCAATTATCGCATCATAGCGAAGCCTGTAGCTGTACAGGGGTAGAAATTAACTTTTGAACAACGGACTCCCTACTCTCAAAAAGAGGGAGTCTGCAGCCTGAGGTTCAAAATTAAAGATATTAACAATAACGCATGTGCTTATTTTTAAGATTCATGCAGTTGCACATCTGCCAAATTTTCTTTGGACATTAGCTGAACAAATACAGTAATTCCGTAACGCCGTGCTCTGGAACGAACTAGTTAGTATGGCAGAATTTTCAGGGAGTCACAAGGACTCCTGCATATGTCAAATCTGGGAGTCCGACAGTAAATCAGGGAGTATTTGACTGCGGACTCCCGTTAATTTCGCACCCTGCTGTAGATATCTGTGTCTAATCATGAGGACAACTCACAGTAGAGCTGCATCAGACCGTTGAAGACCATCGGCTTGTGGTCGGCCATCTTTCTGTGCTCAACAACGCTCACGAGCCGGTACAACACGTCGGCGCGATTCTGCGCGAGCACCTCGTCGCACAGCGGCCGCAGCTTCTCGCAGATGGCTTCGTGAAGCCCCGGGAAGTCGTCCGGCAGCCGGTCGGCGAGCTGCCGGTGCGACGGATGCCGGCTGAGCAGCAGCAGCTTCCACAGGTTGGACGCGGGCCGCAGGCTGCCGCTGCACACGCGACACAGCTCCGCAAACGCCAGCGCGTGATCCACGGGGTCGTCGCCCTCACCGCCGCCGCTTGATTCGCTCGCGCGCACGATCTTCGCCATCACAAACTTCGATAGGTTCGCAATCTTGCCGCGGCTTGCCACGTGCCGCCGGTAGAGGGCGCCGAACAGCCGCATGGACTGCGCAAAGCGGCCGTTGTGGCCGTGCGCCTCGGCAACATAGTGCTGGAAGGCAAGCGCGCGCCGGTGCTTCGCCGGGTAGATGGCGCTGCAGACGCTGCCGACGAAGTCGATCTCGTGCAGCGCCCCCTGCTTGCTGTGCGACACGACGAGCCGCTGCATCGTCTCGAACGACGGGTATACGTCGCGCGCGCAGCTCTCGCGGAACAGCACCGTGGCGCCACCTAGCAACGCGGCGTCGGCGAGCATCATCGACAGCTGCGTGTCGTACGCCTCGTCGACCTCGACCTTGACCTCGGGGTGATCCCGCACAGCACCGCCGTCATTGTCCGGGCGACCCCGCGTTGCGCCGCCGTCGTTGTCCGGGCGACCCCGCGTTGCGCCGCTGTCGTTCATGCGACCCCGCCGGCGGTGTAGTCTCTGGATGAGAGAGTCAAACGCGTCGGGCCGCGCATCGTCCGTCTCGGTCGCATTCGCGCTGTCGTCGCCGCGCCATGGGTCCGTATGAAGGCAGGCAACTTGTGATGAGGCACCGATGCGACCGGGTCGCATCGCCGACTGCACGCGCTCGCATCCCGTCGGGGAGCCCGACGTCGCGACACGGCAGGATTGCCGGACGGACGCGGAGAATGCGTCGCCGATTCGTGGCCTCGCAGCTCTGACCACGCACACAGCTGCCTTCAGTAACGATTGCGACATTCCGGTAACAATAAGCGATTCCTGATTATATATTAGTGTTCCTTAGCGTCCCTCAAGCTCTTCGTCTGTCGTAGAAAAAAATCAGGGCAATTTATCGGACTGGGTTACTGAAACTTGAAAGATCATGTCATTCAATTATAAGCATATTTTAGACAAATTTACTATGATGCAGCACTTACCATGCAAATCTTTAAAATTAGATATCGTCTTAGCTTACAGTGATATTGTTACAAACTTTTGCCAGAAAAATAACACCAACAAAACTGCCAAATCATTGCAATATATGAAGACTTCGATTTCAAAATGAGAACGCTGAACAGGCAATCGGGTTTGTCTAGCCACAAGTTCCCATCTCGCTTAACACTACGTGGCGAGAGGGGTGTAACAGTCGGAGAGCCTGGTCGGTTTAGGGTTTGTCCAATTCTTGTTTCAGAGCCACATAACTTACAGAGTTACACTTCTTAATAATTAAATTCGGTGTTTAAAGATATCACTTTACTAAGCAATCTCCATATACGGTTATACCTACCACGAGGGCCCGACATCGTAAAGCTTTTAACAATAAATGAACAATGAAACGTTCGACACCGGGGGTGGGGTCAGGCATATGGGGTCAGGTTTGTTATTGTGACCTACCAGTGAGTGTTCACGTGCAACTTACCTAGACCTATGCCTAGACTGACCCTATGGCTATGCTAGTAGTAGTCCTTTATACAAAATAAAAAATTGTAATATTTATCGGCTCTTATTTTTTACTGTAAGGTCTACAATGCGCGTTGTTAATATTTGTACCGCAACACAAGAACGATCTCCCGGGACGGTTTGTTTGAAAATGGCTGCCACTATCTCCAGCGTACAGTGTATGGGCAAAATAACTGAAAACGAAATGCAGCGTCAAACGGACGTTATTACATCAATTAAGCCTATTGCACTTCCAAAGGGTGTGAAAAAACTATGTGAACTTTGCAAGAAGCCAGCCTTTATGCAGTGTTTACAATGTAGAGTTACTTTTTACTGGTACGTCGACGTCAGCTAGTACTAGTACTAGTAGTAGTACGGCTGAGAGGCGTCGTATGTCCCCGCGCGAGTACTGCCGGAACGTACCCTGGGGTACCGGTCCGCATATACCGGAAACGTACCCTGGTACGCGTCCGGATATACCGAGTACCCTGACGTACTATCTAATGATGCCGAACCGTACCTCGTCCTACTCCACTAACGAGTCCTAGGCAGTCGCCTACGCCTACTCCCTAACCCGAACCCTTAATCCTAACCCTAATCCTAACCCTAACCATATCAAATAGTTACCAGGGTACGGTCGCCCCGTATACCGGACCCAGCTACCCAGGGCTACGTTCCGGCCAGTACCCTGGCGGGACATAGACCCTATCATGCAGCCGCTAGTACCCTGCTACGCACGCTCAAGGCGGCGTGGTTGTCGTATCAGGCATACGTATCAGGCACGTACACTGCGGTACACGCACGTACACCGCAGATACACGCACGTACACGCCGGGTACACGCCACGTACACGGTGGTACACGCCACGTACCGTGGCCTACCACGCACGGTGACGTGCATGTCACCGCGTGTACGTGCGTGTATCTCCGTGTACACCGCCGTTGTACCCGCGTGTACGGTGCGTGTATCATCTGTGTTACGTGCGTGTACCTGCGTGTACGTGTGTGTACCCGCGTGTACGTGCGTGTACCCCGCGTTCACGTGCGTGTACCCACGTGTACGTGCGTGTACCCGCGTGTACGTGCGTGTACCCCGTGTTCACGTGCGTGTACCCACGTGTACGTGCGTGTACCCGCGTGTACGTGCGTGTACCGCAGTGCAACCGCGCTGCAACCGCAAGTTAAGATCACGTGACTCGCTTCACCTGCTGCAATTGGTCGGTTACATAGAGCCGGTGTGGAACTTGACACAGCCACTCCGCAGACGCTGTGCAAACTGCCACACGTGGAAGAAAATATCAAACACGTGTGATATTTTCCACACGCAAGAAATCGATGCGTTTGCATGCGCACACGCTGTGTGCATATCTGTAGTACCTGATACGACAACGACCCCATCTGCGTCAGTACGTGCCGTGGTGACTATATTGGCTTATTCGCTTAAGTCTAATTTCTATTTCTGCTATAGTCTTACGTATATAGATTTGATCAACTCTGACTTTCTATGTTTTATAGTCCCTTTAACTTTTGAGACTAATCCTTACGACGGGACATGGCTGACACGTATTGATAAATTCTAATAGTAAATTGCAAAGAAAATTGTAACTGTAACAGTGTAAGCAAGAAATTGGTATCCAATGAAACCAATTTTAATTATAAACCTAAATTACAACAACTGCTGGACTTTTATAGTGGATCAGATCATCAAACATCAGATTGGGAAGGAATCCATGATCAAATTTGCACGCAGTTAATTCCACTCCGATCTCCAGAGCCTCACTTCAGCACAGAGAGCAAACGGAAAGAGCATGCTGATGAGCTATTTCAACAAAAGGTGATACACATCAAATCATAATATTTACTGTTGTTCTGAAGTGAAGGCAGCAATAGTGACCCAAAGATTAGCATGCAGGACTTTATGTAGAAAGCAGTTTATTCCCAGTTATCCTACTCCCATTTCGCCTACGACAAAATTCCCATTTCGCCTACAGCAAAATTCCCAGTTGGCCTACACCCATTTTGCCTACTCCCAATTCTGCTACGCTCAAAATCTACCCCATTCCCATTTTGTCTACGATCGGTTTGTTCACTAAATAATCTTTTAAATTAATAATAAAATATGTTTTGATTGGCATACATATACTACAAAAACCAGAAGCAAACAGGTACAAATAATGAGAACACAACTTGACAAAAATAGAAAATACAGGAGTAGGCGAAATGGGAATAAATTGCCGATTCGGACAGTAGACGAAATAGGAGTAGGCAAAATGGGACATAGGCGAAATGGGTGTAGACGAAATTGGAGTAGGCCAACTGGGATGTTACCATAGAAAGCACTTGTGTTTGAGTCCCAGCTTGATCCTGCTAAGCCTTGAACAAGGCGCTTAATTATACGATTTGCTCAGAGACGAACAAGGCTTTCAAGGTGTGATATATGCTTCTAATGCCTTTTTAACTTCACTTTGCTGATGGGGAAGACATAAGACATATAGCACTTGTGAGATAAAAATCAGATAAGAATTTGTAGGCAGCCCTGATTATGGGATTGAAGGAGGGGGGAAGGAACATTAATTATCATATGCTGTCAAAGGGCTTGTGACTATAGTTTAGCTGCAGCTTCATAGGTATGCATTTACTTATTATTATTCCTACAGAAACTTAAATTTAATCCATATCTAAGTGAGTAAGTATCTAGCTGATGTCCATGCAGAATTTTGACAACTGGCTTGTTCTAGAGGCAACTGCTGCAATTGACCAGGGCAGTGGGACAGAAGCTGCTTTTTGAAGGCAAAGCTGAGAAGGCAATACCAGCTGTACTTCAGTCACTACATTTTGCTATAGAGGTATTTTTGCAATTTGGGAAATGTAGCAAGTAAACTAGAATGTATGGTAACTAAGTGGTTCCTGGAGTTGGTATTGATTTTTAAATGAGTTTAAAAAGAATTTTGATGTATGTCGCAAGATATGTATAGGAAAAGTTTAGAATAATTTATTTTGTTTCAAAATACTTGTACATATAATGCCATTTTACATGTTAATATACATGAAGCTTAATACTCCATCCACAGGTGTATGGACTGAGCAGCATAGAGCTGGTTACATCGTACCTCATGCTAGCGGAAGCTTGCATCGGTTAGTACAAACGTGCTTTTTCTAGTAGGAGTGTGTTGTTGCATGATTCTAGTCTAGCAACAGCAGGATATCTAAATATTAAAGGTGATAAATAGATGCCCCCCAAGTTTTTTTACTCTTGCTAAACCTCTATATATTCTTGGTAACTTTTGCCTTGAGCCTTTTATACTCCACTCAATTTCAACCCACTACACTTTCCTTGCTTAATGTTTGTGTGGGATTGGCATATATAACAGGCCTTCATAGACTGAAGGAAGCAGAGGACTACTTGTCCCAGGCGCAGTGGACCGTGCTGATGGTGCCTGACTGCGATTACCGCATCAAGTCCCAGGTGCACCGGCAGATTGGGAGGCTGTGCGAAGTGAAGGGAGACTATGAGGAAGCGCTTCGCCACCTGGCGGAGGATGTAAGAACTACATAACATAACTGTGTCATTAGCGATTGACATACGCAGTTGGTGCTCTCTATGGAGTTAGCAAACTTTGTCATAGCTCGTGCGACTAATATGAACAATAATATATACTGTAAACCTATAGTTCATTTTAGTGTCAAGAGTGTATTAAATATAAATTGATATGCTTTTGAGAATGTGTAAAACTATCTCGTGGGTTCAATAAATCTGCATGGAAAACCTGCCTCAGATATGTATAACAAGGTTGGATTAATTTTACATTCATCATGTTTGTTTTCCTGGCTTCTGATTAAGTGTGTCATATATATTATCTCCCAACAGATGTTGCCTTACAATGCCGCAGCTGCCAGAATTTTTTTTACAAAAATGTCATGTTTGCAGATTTCGACCACTGATGGACCATGGTACCCACTAAGGTTTTTGCCATTGTTTTGTAGGTTTACCATTGCTCCATTGTGACATCAACAGATGATGTGGAGACATCAGGAGGCTACTTTCACATGGGAAATATATTTTTAAAACTAGGGAAAACTGACAAGGCAGAAACTTTGTATTATAGGGTGAGTCGTAAACTCCTTTAAACAATTTCAGAATTAGCGATACGGCAGAATGACTGGCGTAAATAGTTGCTAAATAGCATGGTACTCGTAGTAGTGTTGGTAGCGTAAATCAATGTCATTGTTAATGTTCGCAGGTGCTGAAAATTTGGCATAAATATCTGACTGGAATTGTCACATTTAACGTGGAGGAGGAGGAAAAATCATCCAGCCTGTTGACATCTCCAAAGATGATTAACCTGGGTAACTATGTGCAACCGAGTAACTCTGCTTGACTAGCAAATCTCCTTTATCCTTCTCGTTCAATCAATACAAAACAATTTACATACCAAGTGTGCTTGCAGTGGCAAACACCTGTGTCTGAACTGGTGTGATGAGAGCAGACGATTTTATTCATGGTTAACAATGATGTGGGTAGGTAGTACTTTTTTGTGTTTTGTTTGATTAGTCATTTTTTAAGCGTGTGATATGTTTTAGAGCCCCTCACTTGAGCCATAAACATCAGCCAGTGAATGTAGTTTGTAACATTATTAGCACTGGTTAATTTTAAGATAAAATTTGTTTCTTTCCTAGAAGGTTTAAAAAAACATTAATGATGAGTCATAATATGATTATGGGTATATCAGACTATTTTTAGCTCAGCTGACGAAGTCAGGTGCAGCTTGTAGAATCGCATGATTGTCCGTCCGTCCGTGCGCCCGTCCGTCAACAGTTGGGCACAAATCTTAACCGCTCGACATACGGTCTTGATATTCGGGACGTCGGGGGGATCACGAAAAGGACTCGGGATGTCGAATTTGGGGGTCAAAGGTCAAGATGTTTCAATGGAGGGGGAATATTTCCCCCTTAACTTAAGGTATAGGAGGAAATACGGAATTGCGGCACAAATCTCAACGGCTCGACCTACGCTCTTAATATTTGTGGTGTTCTACATGTATTCAGAAACTTAATTGTCACCATTGCCTTCACAGCTGGACAACAAGCCAAAATATCAAGAGTGCAGTGGTCATTTTAATGATTATTACTTTCCACCAACAGCATATACTGCATTTGGATATATGCACACATGTACTTGTAGTATGAAGTGTTTTAATGAGCCCCAAAATTACATGGATTAAACTGGACTCTCTCGTTGACTAAAAATACATGTAGAGGGTCGGTTAACTTTAAATGCAAAATAAACAGAAATGTTGATTTTACTGCACCAGAAGTATCTGTGGGGTTTGAAATAACCACTTATCCACTTGTCCCTACTAAGTTCATTGTCAGGCAAGTGACAATTTTGTTTTTGAATTTCTTGCCATCCAAACAGAATTACTCATCATTTGGGTACCATTTTAACTGTGAAATGGCTCTGTTTTTGATGCACCATCAATGTAAGATCAGATTTCACTGTTCAAACAAAAATATGAAGTGGAAGCGTCTGACCAGAAATCACACATACATGTATGCTTTCATTGAGTACATTGCATATGGTCCCGAGAAGATTCTAACCGAGAGCAAATGGAAATGATAGATGCGAGTTGATTTCTTTAATTAAATTGCCACTCGATCAGGACAAGTTGGATAGAATGTTTTTTCAAAACCCTGGTCAACAATTATTGTCAAGTACAGAAAACATGCTCTAGAGAAAGCACAGTTTGGTTTCTACCATCGATCTGTATACATACCAGACTGTATTTTAATTTTCAAAAGAGGAAACATTAACCATGAATTCTCTGGCAACTGCTGTGTTTTCATGGCCTTCGTGACTGATCCCTCATTGGGCCAGTATACAAAATTGCCCTTAATCCAACAGGATGGCAACACATCCTCCATCTCATTATCCTCCTCCAGCCAGACAGCCCTAGCCCAAACAGCCATTTTCTACCTGAAAATTAATACAAAAATGTACATTGTAATATTCATGTGACTGTACTATACAAATTGTTCTACATGCGCATGCAAAACATACATGCACATTCGATATAACTCGACAGTGTTTCTCGAATAGGTTAATAATTTCTACATTTCTGCCAGCGTGAAAATGAATAATTGTCGCTTCGTCGGACTCGAAATAAGCAATGTAAATATGTTTAATAAACATATTTACAATAAATATTACAATAAATATTGTTTATGTAAATGTCTTGATTATTACATGTAGATTACATGTATGTCCTGGTGTACATTGCTATCAAACTATACTTGTTTTTCTACCAATTAACTACAGTACTCGAAACGTACCAAACTGATTAATAATTGATTAGTCGATCAGTTTGGCTTAACCGATTACAACTAGTGTTGGGAATCGGACTGAATTTTCATAAACGATTAATCGGATAATCGGAAAGCCTTAGATATATGCTCTGAGCGCGAACGCGGTGGCAGGAGGGCGCACTTGATTCGGTTGCCAGTGAGTTTATCTGAAGATCGAATACCTGGCTACAATACACGTCAGTTGAGCGCTGTCGCTCTGCGGCACTTGTTATTATTGTTTGTCGATGGTTAGCATAAATTCCTTGTAATTGATGATTTAGCCGTTTTTATTTCAACGATGTATAAGTCAATGGTCGGTGTATTCCCTACCATCGAAAAATAATCTTAATTCATCTACGAATCATAGTGATCACTGCATGCACATTTGTTTTCCATGCCAACTACGCATTCATTCTCGCCCCCACAGGGAAGGCGCAGGAGGCTGAGGCCGTGAAGGTGCTGTCTGCCATTCACGCGTGGTACAGTGAGATGTCCGACCGACACCAGCTGGAGTTCTCCTACAGCTGCAAGACGCAGGCCCTACTGAACTTCGTTATCGGCGACCGCTCGCAGGTATCGCAAGGCGTTGTTCCCACACATGTTCTCTTGTTTCGTCGCCAGCATTCACCTGCTGCTTGTCGGCGCCGTTTCGCTGAAACTCTTAGCAGATTAACGTTAATGCTGTGCAATTATCCTATACAATTTATTGCCCTCCCGATGTAATTTATCCCACGTCTATACTAACGATCGTATATCCCCCTATAAGTAATCACAATTAATAGCCTGTGTGATAATTCCGTCCGTGGCTTCGGTCCGGGTGTTGGTGATTAGCATTGCGATGGATGCTCACTAGCTGCTCCCATTCCAACGGCATGCGAACGTTGACCAAACCAAGCCGACGCCAACCATATGTAAAACCTCAGCCAGAGTCTTATCTGTGTTGTTTATGCCGATGCTGACGCATCTCATGCGTTTTCCCTCGTAGGCGAAGGTATGCGCAGAGAGGGCGCTGGAGGCACTCGGCGACGACGAGAAGAAGCAGCATACGCGTCGAGCGATCGCCAGCTTCCTCAACCTGTGCCGCACGACGCCACAACCCTCGCTCTCTCGCCGATAGCCACGTTGACCCGTCACGTCGCCGTGAACATTTTGTTACAAAGGAACTTCTATTTCGTGACGACATAACTTTTAGGCGTGTTATGTGAAATGCTCGCAAGTGATGTGAGAAGAATGTAAGTGACGCCGTTGTCGATAGCCACGTGAAAATTGTGTGTTTCTTCGTCACAAAATCTGCACAGCGGTGATCGTTCTCGGTGCATGCAACCAACTCACATTTGCGTTTGAAAATGATTCGTTAGCTTCTCTATAGAAATGAATCTAGATTGTTCATCTATAGTCATATCCTTTTAGGCTGAAATGGATTTTGTATCACCTTTCATATTTACATTAAAATGCATCTATATTTTCTTTATTGTTTATGAGATGTTTGCTTGATGTTTCATGAGGCTCACCTTAAATGCTACCGTGCATATACACTGACCATGTGCTATGCGTAACATCTATGCATTACAATATCACATATACATATTAACGATAAAAATCCTCTAGCGGGAGCGAAGGGGCTACACCGGTAGAGCTAGTTAGTGATATAGCTAGTATTATATATAGAGATCAGTGAGTTCACACCACAGCTGCCATGTTCAAGTAATACGCAGAATAATTTTTCCCCGTGCATGGGCGCTGCGATCGAGGTGATTGTGACATTGAGGATTGAGTTGCTACTTCCCCAGCCACGAGCCGCGCCAAGGCTAGCGACCCACATTCTACCTTAATGTAAGTGCAGATGGCGCTCGTGCGTCGGTTACCGTTGACTGCCCAGAGAATTTTCTTCGGCCGTTCTCATAGATTCAAACTAGTCGCGGGCGGGCTGACGGCACGTGTGCATGGTAAAATCTGATCTATATGCTTCACTTTGCGCGCAGCATCGCACCACGATTTCCAGCTATGCTAATGTATGGGAAAATGGCACTGCGACGTCGGTCGCCGTTGGCTGCCAAGATAATTTTCTTCGGCCGTTCTTATACGTTTAAACTGGAGCCGGGCAGGCTGACAGCACGTGTGCATGGTAAACTCTGATCTACATGCTTCACTTCGCACGCAGCATCACACCACGATTCCTATGCAGTTATGCTAATGCTAGGGCTAATGGCGCTCCGACGTCGGTCGCCGTTGACTGCCAAGCTCATTTTCTTCGGCCGTTTTTATACGTTCAAACTGGAGCCGGGCAGGCTGACAGCACGTGTGCATGGTAAACTCTGATCTACATGCTTCACTTCGCTCGGAGCATCGTGCCACGATTCCCAGCTATGCTAATATATAGGCTAATGGCGTTCCGACGTCAGTCGCCGTTGAACAGCGTGTACGTGCGTGTATCTGCGTGTATCTGCGTGTACCCGTGTGTATGTGCGTGTAAGTGCGTGTATCTGCGTGTACGTGCGTGTACCCGCGTGTACCCGCGTGCACGTGAGTGTACCCGCGTGTACGTGCGTGTACCTGCGTGTACGTGCGTGTACCCGCGTGTACGTGCGTGTACCCGCGTGTACGTGCGTGTACCCGCGTGTACGTGCGTGCACGTGCGTGTACCCACGTGTACGTGCGTGTACCTGCGTGTACGTGCGTGTACCCGCGTGTACGTGCGTGTACCCGCGTGTACGTGCGTGTACCCGCGTGTACGTGCGTGTACCCGCGTGTACCCGCGTGCACGTGCGTGAACGTGCGTGTACCCGCGTCATCATATTAATCATATTAATATAGTATAATTTAAATATTTTTTTTGTTTTGTGTTTGTTTTTTTAAATTTTATTTTAGTTACCATGCATGTCATTTTAAAATTCAAAGGCTTCAAAACATATTTCTCTTTATGTTTTCCAGATACTGTCATCGACTGCCACAGAAATACCAATGAATCCAGAATCATGGTGGAAATGGCAAAGTATATGAAGTATGCCCCGGAACGTCTGGGTGGTGGGGCCGAAACAAGAGATATAGTAATTAACAAACGAATTAATTGGAAGAAAAAAACAATTTAAATAATTAAAGGAATTATGACTGACAAATTGTCTTTTTTTATTTATTTTTGAAGCTGTCTGAATCCTGCAGTCTGACTTAAGCCAACGCCACTCCTAGCTGGCGATCGATAGAAATGGCCTACCTCCACTGTCCGGCCATGGCCTTCTCGGTCATCATACATGTATTCTACACTTTCAGGATCCTAACAGCCAATTCAATCTACTGTTTAATAGATCTGTAGTGCACTTCTCTCTCTGTGTAATAACGCGATAATATGATTTATACAACATTCAATGAGGAGTGCTGTGATGAGGAGTGGATGCAACATTGGAACAACGTTGAATAAGGTTGAGTAACCTTTTGGATTTGCAAATACGGTAATCAAGAACGGTAATTCTTGAAACGTCGGAAATTCAACGTTGAAACGACGTCGGTGATGCGACGTTGAAACATCGTCATGATTTCAACGGTGAAACAACGTCGGTATTTCAATGTTGAACCAACATCGGTATTTCAACTGTGAATCAACGTCGGTATTTCAACTGTGAATCAACGTCGGTATTTCAACGGTGAATCAACGTCGGTATTTCAACTGTGAATCAACGTCGGTATTTCAACGGTGAATCAACGTCGGTATTTCAACTGTGAAACAACGTCGGCATTTCAACGGTAGAACAACGTCGTTATTTCAACAGTGAACCAACGTTGATATCTCAACGTTGAACCAACGTTGGTATATCAACGTTGATTATATTTTCAAATCCGACAGGTAATCCAACATTAATTCAACGTTGAGGTTCAACGTTAATTCAACGTTGAAACATGTTGAAATGCCAGCTGTGGTACAGAATGCTGCGTCCCTTTGTGTCATGAAAGCGGGGTGCCATTGCATTTTCCGAAATCTGATCAGACCAGATATATAGCTTGCGACCGAAAGCAGTGTGGAGAGGCGAAAAGAACTGGTCACCATCGAAACTAACCCCACCAGGCTGTGTGACTAACGTCAATACAACGTCAGGTATTCTAACCCCTAGCAATACCGTTTTCTTGGGTACATCCGAACCATGCCTGTGCTGTTGAACGCAACATTTTGACGATGTGATTACATGCGGTAAATACCACTCAGGCCTATGTTTTGAAACATGTTATGTGTTTAGTATTTTTTGATTAGTCAGAGATACACTCCTAGCAGCTAGCTATCAAAATCACTGACGTTTTAATTATCTGTTAGGCCTATAACAGTATATTTTGGAATCTGTCGAACCTACATTTTTCCCTCACTTTGTTCCACATTTGGTATAACTAATTAGAATGTCGCTCAATTTTTTAGGCACAGTAAGACTACAGAAACGCCTAAAAAGTACAGCCATCCCACACATTTTCCCATGGCATGATTCCCCTTCAGAATCGCAAATGTCCAGACGGGAAAATTTTTAAAGAAAACTGGTTCTTGAGTTATCTGAAAGGAGAATGATGGAAATCATTGAACCGATTATCTTTGCCTCTGGATCCATTGAACAGAGATTTTTGATAATGAACAAGAGTATTTAATTAAATCAATTTTTTTTTTGCTATTACGGCTGACTGGTGTGGGTTGGTTCATATAAAATAATAAGCACCATAACTTTTAAATAAATATTACGATTCATTTTACATTATTATCATAAGTTCAAATATATTAATTCACTGTTCTCATGCAACATTTTGTTCATTCTATTTTGAAAATATCTATTATTTAAAATAATCAGAACAAAAGATCATTTTAATCTTAACAATTCAATTTTTGGCTTTACCAATTAATCTGCAGATGATCCCTTTTGGAAACTGAAAGCCGAGACCATCTAAAGAACAAGGGGACTCACAATGTACGTTCTGCGCCAGATTTTCTGCCACATTTTTTTGTCACAGACCCAAAAGATCAATTATTACTGGATTGGAAACCTACGACAAATTTTTGTATATCGGGTTTTAATACACTTGGGCCAGAGCTATAGACTGAATTATTTTCAATGGTGTAAGACCTACATTATGCAGTACCTGTCAGTTTTTTTTAAAAACATGATTTAAACTTCGGAGCATATGACAAACTTGCTTTGTCTGAACATTTGAGTCAGTGAAAGTCAGTCACTATATATTTTGTTACAATGGAATTAACTCATGGCACTGCAATGGGGTCAGATTAACTGGCCTCACACGACTGTATTCACTTATTTTTCCCCGTCGGATTTTAAAGCTAAATTCCTACTTACTCGAGTTATTTTGGAGAACTGAAGTATCCAGTTAAAAACCCAAGGACCCATTGTTACAACAAGCCTACATTCTCCACGTATAAGACCGGAATACTGCAAAGTTGTCGTGTACATCACCCGCGTGTTTAGTCACATATCTATCAGATGCGTATGTTGGGTGAACTAGTGACAACAGATATGGAAAGAAGTGACCTACAAAATATGTGTGATCAGGGACCGCATAATGGTCGACAAGGATTTAACATACAGGACTTGTTATATCTTCAAATGTGTCCAATAAACATCCCATCATTTAAAAAAAATACAAATGCGATGTCTGAGTCATTCAATAAGAAGGACCGAAAGATAGCAGTAAAGGTCGTGCACATTGAAAGAATAATGGACTTGGAAAACCTACAAAATCTTTAGTCTCACTGAACAGCTACCGAGTTATCACGCAACAGAAGATCAATGAAGCGTGTGTTTATTTAGTAATTTCAGGAATGCATAGACACAACAATAGCTTGAAAATATGATTGTAACATTTTTTCTGTGTTGCTATACCCTATCGAGAGAGAGAAAATTACCATAAATTTTAAACAACAAGTCAGTTTATTGTATTTATTGTTTATTTAATGTCACTGCAAATATTACATACATATTATATTTGAAATGGCCATATGTCTAGATATGTATATATACATGTGCATATATATATTCACATTAAACCTAATAAATAACAAAAAGCAAAGTGTTAGAATCAACTCAATGATTAGAAATCAAATCTATGTATATACATACATATGTGTGTATATTCTGACTAGTGTGCCTTCTCACTAGTAGCCTTCCATATCTTCTAAAATTCATAATCATAATAGTTCTTGTATAAATATCTTTCAATAAGTGCATCCCTGTGGAATTTGTAATGAAAGTCCATTAGCTTAGCTACCATTTCTTTAATGAACTCCCTGTCTCTATCAATCCTAATTATTTTTAGGTCCTTGTTAGTAAAAACGACAAAAGTCACATGCTGTTCGGTTTGCACAATAGAGTTGTCCTTGTATCTGATAGTAATAGTTATGATTTGATTTTAATTTTAAATCTCCTGAAGTGTTTTTTACAAGATATGGAACAGTTTCTGGCTAATGAATTTGTCTCTGAGACATAGGGGACATTTTACCTCAAACAATTAGTTCTGTGTCCACTATGCGATCTGGTGAGGCAGCTATAACTGGAGTGTCCTTGGAGACAAACAATCCACATTCACTTGTCATTATTTTTGTCTTTTCCTCGTATTTTTCTACTGCCACCGATTCATACTGTAGCCCCATGTAAACATAGATGTTGTCTTTAATTTCACTGATGAAAGCAAACTTCTAGCTAATCGTTTTTTATCCTGGGCATCTGTCCCTTTTGCAATTGTTCCAAATTTTGAAAGCAGTGATTCTTTTCATTCGCTCAATTTTCCAATTTTTATTGCTGCTTTGACCTCGTGTCATAGACTCTATGTATTCTATTTCTTCATCAGTTATGGAAATTAGCTGAAAAAATAAATTCATTAATTAGTATCGTAATAATCATTTAATCATACTCCCACACTGCACGAACCAGTTGAGTGATAGTTCCTAGTTAGACATATGGTGATTATACATGTTGTGGCACAACGTGTTTACTTAACTGTAATTGCCGGATAAAATTGCTGGTACAATTACAGAGAATATTGTATATAAAATTTTTAAATTGATAGTAAATTTTAATTAACAAAGTAGGAAAAATTAATATAGCTATATTTCAACTTCTCCATTTCAACTGTTTACCTTTGCCATCACATAGAAACTGTAATGCCATCAAGCCTAAGGTAATCATGGTCAAGGACAAGGGCATGCGGATTGCAGGGGGAAACACTGCATGACAGGCATGGAAATTCCTCCAAATGTAGCCTTTAATGATAAATGTTGATTCTACAGGTAAACTGTACACCGGTACAAGTGAAACATGATCATCAATTATAATTTGTTATAAAATAATTTGTTGCTGGAATTGTATGTCAAAAATACACATTTACCTGATAATTTATACATTGATCCTGAATTGAGTTTCATTGCTTGCCCTGGTCTTGTTTCGATCTTGGGTCGTACTTCAATACCGCTGGTGTGGAGTTTTTGCGTGGTACATTAATTCCACTTTCAATTTCAAGGGTGTACCCCTTATGTGGCTTGGCATGATGAAAGGTTTGTAATACCTAGAATTAAATATTTCACAAATCTTGTAACATATTTACTAGTCTAGTAGCATACTCGAAAGTTCTCTGATATACATGGTTGGAAGAAAATAATGACAAAAAAACATACGAATGTTACCAACCTGGGTACATTCGTTACTTAGTTATGACAACATCATCTTCAAGCAATTTCAGCAGGGCTGTACAAAACTAATGAGACATGTTTACAGTGTGCCCCAGGGCCTTGACCTGCTCCACATTCACACTGAGCCTCATTTGTTACACCATCCCCATCTACCAGAATATCCACTCTATATGACACGGACTTCTTCATCTCGGCCCATACGACAGCAGTCAGGTATGTGGACTTGAGTTAGTAACTTGTGCCCACTCTAACATGTCTCAAGAACTTAAATAAATCATAAATGAAAATATGTTTATTATGTCATATTGAAAAAAAAATTCAGTATTGGTAATTTCAGAGAAAATTGCTAGAAGTATTAACAAAAAAACATGTGACATATACCTTTGTTGATAAAAATCTTTTATTTTCTCATCAAATCCTTTGTCATACCGATTTAGATATTCATCTATTCTCTTCATACTTATTTTTGGGAGCCAATCAATCATTCCAGTGTGGATATCTTTGAATTCACTAGTTTTCTGGTACACACATTTTATACTCCGGTTCAAGTGATACAACCACTTTATTAGTCCTATAAAACTCTAACCTGTTAAAATAAAATAAATATAGTAATTATTAAAAATGATGAGAAAGTTAGTGAAAATAATTAGCACGTACATGACGACGGCGATAAACAAAACTACTGATGAATATAGACCTAACGATTACGTTACGTACCTCTCACATAACTCCTGTTTTCTGCCAGAAACCTTCGCTCCGAACGTCCTCAGCTCATCTTTTAGTTCGTTTATAGTCATAGAACTAATAATGGTACTTGATGACATATTTCAGCGATCGTATAATGTATTAAAATAGATTTAAACGAACAGAAATTTCGCGGAACACACTATCAACAGTATGCTCTGCAGTAAGGTTGAATGCAGCGCCATCTAGTCTTAGACGAGTGCTTACCAGCGCCACTATTCATTGCGGTCAAAACTTGCGTATGGGTTCCCCATTATGGCAAACATATAAAATTCGAGACGACGCAAATAAGTTTCAAGACAAACACATTTACGGACGACAACTGCAACTTCATTTGAACACAACACATGTTCGAAAGTTTATAAACAAGTACAATAATCGAAGCAAATACTGGGGGGCTACAAATAGGTGGGGGGCGGCGGACATCCGGGAACTTTAGACTATTAATTTTGACCGGATGCAGATCACTGAACTAAAACTAACTTAGTTCTAGCATTGGTTCTAGTTAACTTACTTACTTAACTAACTCACTTACTAACTACTAACTTAAATAACTAACTTAGTTTTAGTTCAGTGAGGTAGATACATACACGCTAACCAAAAACGTTATTATAACGTTTATATAAACCGTTATGCCAAAGTTGTTATAACGTTTTTGTACGTTTATATAACGGTAATGTGCTAAGGCTTTTTTATAACGTTTATATAACGTTTGGTAAAACGTTTTATGTAACCGATTACATACGTCTATTGTATGGGGTCCTCGGCACGTTATGAAATAACGCTAGTTAATGTATTCACAATAACGTGATTTATAACGCGGGTTTATCTACTGAAAACGTAATTTGATGTATGTGCGCGTGCGTGAGTGCATTTATATAACTGATATTATATCTATAAAACACATATATATACTTATAATATATATAATAATTATTATATATATATATATATATCAATGGAAAACAACATCTAACAAAATCAGTGTTTACGCGAGACTGAGCATATCTACACGTTTAGTGGAATTGGTTTTGATAGACATATGTTTACGACAACTGACTGCACATACAGCTATTGGTAAATATGCCAATCGACAAAGCACCCAGTTCGAAAAAGTAAAATACGTTTAATCCAGTTCAAAAATATAACTTACAATTAAAAAACGACATGATTCTAAAAACCTATATATATATATATATATATATATATTATATATATATATTATCCTCAATCATCAACATCAAAAACCTAAAGTTGTAAACTTTATAAAGTGAAATATTCGGCTATTCTTTAATCTGCAGATACTTTTCGCACACATAAACTACAATACAGTGTTAATTTCTTGACAATACAACTTTCCAGATACAACATTATATTTATAATATTTAGTCTGCCATCACGTGATAAACGTTGATGAAAATTCCATTGGATAACGCGTCGGCAGGCTATATGAAAGAATAGTGCCCGCCTGAGCCATGCTTAGCGCGGGACGCATTGCTTATACTATAAACGGCATTGTGTATTACTTCACGAATCTCCTGCGTTGGGCAGCCACGCAGAGTTTCTCGAAATTAATGGGGTTTGTTTTTGTGTCGAGCTTTTTTACATCGAATGCCACCGGCAAATTAGGGAGATATAAAGAACGGTATATATCTAGCATGAAAAGTAAAACAGAAACACTAATTAGTATTTTCATACAGTTTATTTTGTAAAATAACACACAAATATCTACTTGTAGGTGCTAGAAATTGTGACGTAAGAGCAGTTTATACAAATTGAATTGTTCGTTTAAGAAACTTTGTCTTATTCACTTTCATATTTGCAAGGTAGATTGCAAAATCATGTGCATGCACTAAAAAACATTAATGCCTGTGTTATGGCGGGCACTATGCTCTCTAAGTGTATGCTTTGGGAAAATAGATGCCCGAAGCGAGTTGTCAGGTCGAGTATTTTCCGGGGCCTTAAAAGGGGGTACCCTGCTTCTTGGTGGACACCGTAGTGTTATGTAATATTTCAGTTAGGCCAACGTGAGCAGACCTTTCATTCGTTGCCAATTAAGTAAATTGGCTGCGGGCAAGAGTGTGAAGGAATTGGATATAAAAGCGCGACGAGGTGACGTGGCGAGGCTATGAACATTTTTTTGTGCTATGCTCCGCCATGGAAGCTTGTTGTATATTTCGTTGAACTTTATTGTAAAAATAAATTTGTATGTGGTCCACCTCATACACATTCTAGCTGGTGTACATTCTCCTGGTATACGCTCTGAGGCAATGCATGAGAGCTCTACATATATTGGTGGCAGCGTGGCGAATAGAAGAAGGAAGGAAGGGCGTGCGCAAAGGAAAGGAGAAGCAAGAAGAGAGCGTCGACTGACCAGAAGGGAGTCAATATGCGCAACACGTGGGACAGCGCCGTGAGTCCGTTTGTCGCCGGCAGACAGGGTGAGACGCGTCGACTGACGGAAAGGGAACAACGCCCCACAACACATAGGGACAGTCGCCGTGAGTCCGTTCGTCGCCAGAGACAGGGAGAGCGCTCGACTGACGAGAAGGCGAACAACGCACAACACCTGGGACAGCACGGTGAGTCCGTTCATCCGCGAGTGGGAAAGCCTTCACTCTCAACCATTGTCGGTGTTGCTGCGCGACGAACATTATGCTGTTTGGTGAAGGCAGTTGTTGCGAGATGAGCACCTAACATGGTGAACACGTATGCTTACAGTATGTGGGTTGTTACCTCTTGAGGTGTCATGTCTGGGGAGTGTGTATGTTTAGGAAATTTGCGTTAAATCTGACAAGAGCGTTGTAAACATGCGAGCAGTGAGCCACGCTGGATATCAGGCTTGTCAAGGAAAATGAGCACCTGAATATTTTGAAAGCAAAATTAAGTTGATGGCCGGGCTTCAGATTGAGCCAAGTAGAGGAGTTTGGGCGTGACCAGCTGATGAGAGATGGATATGCTCAGCTGCATCCATGTTAACAGTCAGAGGAAGGGCGGTGGCGCTTCCAAAGATGGATTAAACCTAGTCCTACGGCCGCCAGCTCGAAACGTGATGATAGAGTCGCACTAGAGGAGACGGGCGGCAATTTATGCCGTTAGTTGAGCAGCTGAGAGAAGATAGGATGTTTTAGAGGGAAAGGTGGGAAGCCGAATGTCGCCGTTTCGTGTAAGAGGAGAAGCGCAACAGCAGTTGAGAGAGAGACCGGGGATTAGACAGAATAGGCTTTATTTCCGAGTTTTGACAAGAGTATGGCTGAAATCTTCGAAGTATGTGTTACGACGGTTTTCCTGACGAGCGGGATGAAATTCCCATGTTGTTTTCGAGACAGTAAGAATATTTTTAAGCTTGTAATTGAATGCTATGAACCGTGCCTGATGCAGCATTCGTGCTGCTTATTGTCTCCCGCTGTTTGTCGAGTAAAGGGCTAGAAGTTACACATCTCGCGATGGACGTCAGCGCAGCTCACAGACTACAAACAGTTGTAAGCTTACTGCTTAATAGGAATTTATGCAGTTCACGCCGGCTTCAGGTATAAAGCCCAGGCGACAACGTATTGAGCGATTTTTTATCGCCCTAGTACGGGGCCGATTCTGTTGCCGGCCGACAAAATCGCCGAGAAATCGCCACGTGTGCGCTGCCGGCGGTCACCGATTTTGACGCCAGGAAACTCAATTCGCTGCGATAACTCAAGACATGTTTGATGTATTGTTGCCAGTCGCACCTGAACAATCGCGACGTGGTGCGCACGCACTGGCCGATGGAATCTCGGCAACAGTTTATTGGCAATTAACAATCCAATGCATGATTTGAGCACAGTGATCAAATAATTGGCAGCGCCGCTGGTCTGTGGTCTTGAACAGCAGTCACACGTAACCGTTCATTACAGTGGTATGATTCGCTGATAGACTCCGTTGAATTGGTCGCCGCGTGAGCGACACAACGCTGGCGAAGTTTTATCGAACATACCAGCCCGCATAAAAATCGAACGGTTCTGCTTCGTCAAAAAATCGCCACGTGTGCGCCGGGCTTAAGCAGCGTGTTTCCGTCCGCCAGTAAGAAGGTAGACCGAGTCAAGGAAGCTCAATTTGCTTCTAGGTTGCACCGTTTGATTCGGGGTTTTACACGAAGAGTCGTTGGAGATTGCTGGTAGCTATGGACCAGTTTGGTTCAGCTGTTAATTCGCGGATAGGCTAAAAGAGGCACGGCCGAGGGTTATTTAGCGGTCTCATAGTGTTTAGCAAAGGAAGGTGCGGCGCCTGAAATCTTGGTTTTTGCGGATAAAAATTGTCGACGTTAGCCTGATACGTTTGCTCAGAACGCAGTTGTTACTTCCCGGTAAATGCAGTCGGCTATGATTCTAACGGGTCTATAGACAAGGCATCGGAGTGAGAATGGCTGTGAATTTCAAGCGGCATTAGCAAAGAGCTTTGGGCGGTCGACGATCACGCAGTTTGCTGCAGAGCAGAAGGGGTCAACACTGGTAGTGGTGGTTAGAGGGAGAGGCTATTACACTAGGTGAAAGTGTAGTTATTGCCGATAAGCACCGGGACCCGTGGAGATTTTGTTTGAAATAAGGCCTTAGCAGGCTGAGGGACGGAGAGAAAAGAGAACCGCCTGCGTGCTTTGTTTAGTGCCTCTGTTAGAAGCTGTTAGGGAAATCTCGGGAGATTCGCAGCGAGGCTTACTCGTGATGCCAGCGAGTCACAGACAAAGAAGCGAATGAGCCATGGCTAGTAACCACCTGGTTAGCCAAAGTCACATCACCCCAGCCAGACGCTGGCATGCGCGATTGCGCTTGAGTCGCGAATCAGTCTCGTTAGAGAATGATAAGGGAGTCAAACCAATTTTCAAGAGAGCGCTCGTGCGCGCCATCCACGTTGTCGTACGTTTATGTTCATGGGTAGGCGCTGGGCTCGAGCAGATAAAATGTCTTATAGACACGGGGCGCAGGTTATGTGTCGTTAGACGGTCAGTTCCGCCTTCAATGGCATTAGCTGAGCACAGTGGGCTGACGGTTTACGCTGCAGAGGTGAGCGTCACTTGCGTCAACAGGTGCACAGACAGAGTTATAGATAATATCCCGGTATGTTGGCCAATGCCAAGAACACACTGAATCCTCTCACAGTCGTGCTGTGCCGTTAACAAAATGATAAAACTGTCAAGTGGACTAGATATGATTTTAGTCAGCGAAGAGTATATCAAGCAGTTGACTTAAGCTCGACGTATTTTCTACTCTGCTGCACGCGGGCCAAGTGCAGCATTGCGTCTTTGAGGAATGTTGAGGACCATAGGGGCGACCGCAAAGCTTGCTACAAAGCTGATTCAACTGCACAAAGCCAGACATTCACTGGAGTACAGGGCCATGGCGCATTAGTCTTCCACTGCGTAGAGACCCGGTTAGCGGGGTGAGAGAATTTGCTAAGAGTTTAGATAGACGAAAGCCTCGTATATGAGCCGCAAATATGCGAAAGATTTGCGTCGACAGACAGGAGACTTAGATTACGCAGTTTTGAACGAATGCATGGAAGCTAGCGAGACAGACGCGCAAGCGGATAAATTTGCTAGTGTTTTCTCGTTGATCTGTACCATAAACACAAAGGTGCATTGAATCAGTCCGTCACTGGACAGTTGGTGGTCCCTACACTGAATGTCGATAGGGACGGCCAGTTGTTTAAGCTGGCTCATGCATGGCGTATAGGGGCTGCGCATTTGGGCGCACGCCGGAAGACAAAAAGATAAGCGATAATGTACACCTTTCTATTGGGCCGACGATCCGCAGGCCTCGATGTCAGGACGGTAATTATACGGAGCTGGCATGCAGCTTGTCAGTCGCTGAGCCGGCGTTGACTCACATAGGCGGCACAGAGCGCGCTACCGCAGTTTACCCGATCTCACGGCCTCCGGACTATACCCTTTCAGGATGCTGAACACTGTTGATCGAGTCTAGAGACGACAGGCGGCCAAGCCTTTGAAACAGCATTACCTATAACAGAGCATACCCACAGGCCTTTACCGGGAGTGCAGGATAGATCGCGCGCAGGTAGAAAGTGGTCTGTTACACAACTAGGAACTGATTGAAACTTCATTCAGCCCTATCGCTCACCGATCGAGTAGATGAATGACAGAAGAGGACGGTACGTCGGTGGCATGTGCGTCGATTTTAGGAACGCATGACACCTACTGTACGAAGTGGCTGAATAGCCATTTCAAATGCCAGCTGTCACAACGCACGCTTTGATACCTATAGGCGCTTGAATCCAAGTTTACGCGATTTAATAACTGATTGATTGCCCTTGACGACTATGACCGAAAACGGATCAACTTATCAACGATTACCGCACTACGCTGAGGCGCAAGCCGTGCGAGTTAACGGCACATTCTTCTTACAGGCATGCTTATGTATCAGACGAACGGCTTATGGCAGTTGGATTTTAAAGCCGAGCTGAGTGCAAAACTTATATCAGAGGGATCTAGTCGAATAGGATTATTGCTTGGTCATAGCGCATACGCGTGTGGGTATATTGGACGATGATTCGCCTGTCTTCTCGCCAAACACCTGGCAAGAAACTTGGTACATCTGGGGCGTAAAGTACTCTTGGCCAAGGGCTCGGTCTCGCAAGACGTGCGAGTTTGACAAAATCAATGCTAAAAAAAATGCAGGGTTCCGCACGTAGAATCTCACTGGACGAGCGGAGAACCACGCATGAAAGAGTCAGGGAAAAATGAGAAAGAGTTGTAGTGTACGCGCTGTACATCATGTATGTGTGGTTGGGCATAATTAAACTTGACACGCTAATTTCCTGTGGATATACGCCAACCAACAGATAAAAACCCAACTTACCACATGCATAGGCGGGTGGGTGCCGCTATATTTTTAAGATATATTTTGCGTTTATTTCAACTCATGATAAGAAACTGATCACTCATGTGACACGAGCCATCGGCAGTATATATTAGTAATAGAATACTTATATAGTATGAATATATATTTAAGCCGAGATAATAAGGTATAAACACCATTAATAAATCACCCATGGTCTAACATCTAGACAGATCATTACCCGCTGACTAAAATATTAACATGATTGGACGCACTAAAATTCAGACTAAGAGATCAACAGCACGCCCCGACGCAGCCTATTAAACCTGGCTGGAACACACTGAGGGCCAAGCTTCATCAGACACACAACTTCCCGAGCCCAGCACTTCATACGACACCACAACCAGCACATCAAGAATACACCACAAAGAAACCAGACCATTATCGACAGCAAATCCTGACAGCGCCCGGAACAAATGTCTCCCTCGATTTGCCAATCGCAATTTAGCCACAGTCACGAAGCTCCAAATTGGCACGCAGTCACGAACTCGTATATTCTCGCTATAGAGGAGCACGATTCTGATTGCGAATGCGGCTGACTTCTAAAGTGTTCTGATGTATCCAGGTATGCCAGACAGCATAATGACCTGTTAAACCTGGTGCATGCGAAGTATGAGGAATTGTGGACAGAGGTTATAGATTAATCATATATTAATATGCGTAGGATGTTCATGTACCAACGAACCAAGGCGCGGAAGGTCAATTTAGACAGAAAGAGCGGCGCAGAGGACTGGGTTCAGGGCTGAGGTCTTGTTGCGTAGGGCCTGTTCGTGAACTG